CTAAAAGTAGTAGTAGTACTAGTAGTAATAGTAGCATTATTATAACTAGTAATAATACTAGTAGTAGTAGTACTAGCAGTACTAGTAGTAGTAGTATTACTAGTAGTAATAGTAGCATTAGTATTACTAGTAGTAATACTAGTAGTAGTAGTATTAGCAGTACTAGTAGTAGTAGTATTATTACTAGTAGTAGTAGTAGAACTAGTAGTAGTAGTACTAAAAGTAGTAGTGGTAGTACTAGTGGTAGTAGTACTATTAGTAATAGTAGTAGTAATTGTAGTAGTACTAGTAGTACTAGTAGCAGTGGTAGTAGTAGTAGTAGTACTAGTAGTAGTAGTACTAGTAGTAGTAGTAGTAGCACTAGTAGTAGTAGTACTTAAATTAGTAGTATTAGTGCTAGTAATAGTAGTATTAGTAGTACTACTAGTGGTACTAGTAGTAGTACTAGTAGTAGTAGTAGTACTAGTAGTATTATTTGTAGTAATATTACTAGTAGTATTAGTACTAGAAGTAGTACAAGTAGTAGTAGTACTTGCAATAGTAGTAGTACTAGTAGTATTAGTAATAGTAGTAGTAGTAGTATTACTATTAGTAGTAGTAGCACTAGTAATAGTAGTACTAAAAGAAGTAGTAGTAGTACTAGTAGTAGTACTCGTGGTAGTAGTAGTACTAGTAGTAGTAGTAGTAGTATTACTAGTAGTAGTGGTAGTAGCACAAGTAGTAGTAGTACTAAAAGTAGTAGTAGTACTAGTAGTAGTAGTAGTAGTACTAGTAGTAGTAGTACTAGTAGTATAATTAATACAAGTAGTAGTAGTAGTACTAGTAGTAGTAGTAGTAGTACTAGAAGTATTATTAGTAGTATTAGTACTAGTAGTAGTAGTACAAGTACTAGTAGTAGTAGTACTAGTAGTAGTAGTATTACTAGAAGTAGTAGTATTATTAGTATTAGTAGTAGTAGTAGTACTAGGAGTAGTAGTAGTACTAGTAGTAGTAGTAGTACGAGTAGTGTTAATAGTAGTAGTACTAGTAGTAGTAGTACTAGTAATATTAGTAGTACTAGTAGTAGTACTAGTAGTAGTAGTAGTATTAGTAGTACTAGTAGTAGTAGTACAAGCAGTAGTAGTAGTAGTACTAGAAGTACTACTAGTTGTAGTAGTATTAGTACTAGTAGTAGTAGTAGTAGTACTAGTAGAACTAGTAGTAGAAGTAGTAGTATTAATACTAGTAGTAGTAGTAACAGTACTAGTAGTAGTAGTAGTAGTACTAGTAGTATTAGTAGAAGTAGTACTAGTGGTAGTAGTACTAGTAGTAATAGTAGTAGGAGTACTAGCATTAGTACTAGTAGTAGTAGTAGTACCAGTACTAGTAATACTAGTAGTAGTAGTAATAGTATTAGTACTAGTAGTACTAGTCGTAGCGGTAGTAGTAGTAGTAGTAATAGTAGTAGTAGTAGTACTAGTAGCACTAGTAGTAGTAGTAGTAGTGTTAGTAGTAGTAGAATCAGTACTAGTAGTAGTAGTAGTACTAGTAGTATTAGTATTAGTAGTAGTACTAGTAGTAGTAGTAGTAGTACTAGTAGAACTAGTAGTAGTAGTAGTATTAGTACTAGTAGTAGTAGTAACAGTACTAGTAGTAGTAGTAGTACTAGTAGAAATAGTAGTAGTAGTAGCAGTAGTAGTACTAGTAGTAGTAGTAACAGTACTAGTAGTAGTAGTAGTAGTACTAGTAGTATTACTAGTAATAGTAGTACTAGTAGTAGTAGTAGTAGTATTAGTAGTAGTATTAGTAATACTAGTATTAGTACTAGTAGTAGTAGAAGTAGTACCAGTAGTAGTAATACTAGTAGAAGTAGTATTAATACTAGTAGTACTAGTCGTAGTGGTAGTAGTAGTAATACTAGTAGTAGTAGTAGTACTAGTACCACTAGTAGTAGTAGTAGTACTAGTAGTAGTAGAATCAGTACTAGTAGTAGTAGTAGTACTAGTAGTATCAGTATTAGTAGTAGTATTATTAGTAGTAGTACTAGTAGTAGTAATAGCACTAGTAGTAGTAGTACTAGGAGTAGTAGTAGTAGTACTAGTAGTAATGGTAATAGTACTAGAAGTAGTATTAGTAGTAGTAGTGGTAGTTGCACTAGTAGTAGCAGTAGTAGTACTCGTAGGAGTAGTAGTAGTACTAGTATTAGTAATAGTAGTATTAGTAGTACCAATAGTAGTAGTACTAGTATTAGTAGTAGTAGGAGTACTAGCAGTACTAGTAGTAGTGGTAGTAGTAGCAGTAGTAGTACTAGTAGTAGTACTAGTAATAATAGTTGTAGTAATATTACTAGTAGTAGTAGTAGTATTAGTATTAGTACTAGTAGTAGTAGTAGTAGTACTAGTAGTAGTAGTATTACTAGTAGTAGTAGTAGCAGCACTAGTAGTAGTTGTACTTAAATTAGTAGTATTAGTGCTAGTAGTAGTAGTATTAGTAGTACTAGTAGTGGTACTAGTAGTAGTACTAGTAGTAGTAGTACTAGTAGTATTATTAGTAGTAATATTACTAGTAGTAGTAGTACTAGAAGTAGTACAAGTAGTAGTAGTACTTGCAATAATAGTAGTACTAGTAGTATTAGTAATAGTAGTAGTAGTATTACTATTAGTAGTAGTAGTAGCACTAGTAATAGTAGTACTAAAAGTAGTAGAAGTAGTACTAGTAGTAGTACTCGTGGTAGTTGTAGTACTAGTAGTAGTAGTAGTATTACTAGTAGTAGTGGTAGTAGCACAAGTAGTAGTAGTACTAAAAGTAGTAGTAGTACTATTAGTAGTAGTAGTACTAGTAGTAGTAGTAGTACTAGAAGTATTATTAGTAGTAATAGTACTAGTAATAGTAGTACAAGTACTAGTAGTAGTAGTAGTATTACTAGAAGTAGTAGTAGTATTATTACTAGTAGTAGTAGTAGTAGTACAAGGAGTAGTATTAGTACTAGTAGTAGTAGTAGTACTACGAGTAGTGTTAATAGTAGTAGTACTAGTAGTAGTAGTACTAGTAATATTAGTAGTACTAGTAGTAGTACTAGTAGTAGTAGTAGTATTAGTAGTACTAGTAGTAGTAGTACAAGTAGTAGTAGTGCTAGTCGTAGTATTTGTACCAGTAGTAGTAGTAGTGGTAGTTGCACTAGTAGTAGCAGTAGTAGTACTCGTAGTAGTAGTAGTAGTATTACTAGTAGTAGTACTAGTAGTATTAGTAGTACAAATAGTAGTAGTACTAGTATTAGTAGTAGTAGGAGTATTAGCAGTAATAGTAGTAGTGGTAGTACTAGTAGTAGTAGTGCAAGTAGTAGTATTAGTACTAGTAGTAGTAGTACTAGTAGAAGTAGTAGTACTAGTAGTAGTAATAGTAGTACTAGTAGTAGTAGTATTACTAGTAGTAGTAGTAGTACTAGTAGTAGTAGTGGTAGTACTAGTAGTAGTAGTAGTACTAGTATTACTAGTAGTAATAGTAGTAGTAGTATTACTAGCAGTAGTAATAGTAGTACTAGTAGTAGTGGTAGTATTACTAGTAGTAGTAGTATTAGCACTAGTAGTAGTAGTAATAAAAGTAGTAGTAATATTACTAGTAGTAGTAGTAGTATTAGTACTAGTACTAGTAGTAGTAGTAGTTCTAGTTGGAGTAGTATTACTAGTAGTAGTAGTAGCACTAGTAGTAGTAGTACTTAAATTAGTAGTAGTAGTACTAGTAGTAGTAGTATTAGTAGTACTAGTAGTGGTACTAGTAGTAGTACTAGTAGTAGTAGTAGTACTAGTAGTATTAGTAGTAGTAATATTACTAGTAGTAGTAGTACTAGAAGTAGTACTAGTAGTAGTAGTATTTGCAATAGTAGTAGTACTAGTAGTAGTAGTAGTAGTTGTAGTACTACTAGTAGTATTATTACTAGAAGTAGTAGTATTAGTATTATTAGTAATAGTAGTAGTAATACTAGTAGTAGTAGTAGTGGTAGTAGTAGTATTAGTATTAGTAGTAGTAGTAGTACTAGTAGAACTAGTAGTAGTAATAGTAGTAACAGTACTAGTAGTAGTACTACTAGTAGTATTAGTAGGAGTACTAGTAGTAGTAGTAGTAGTAGTAGTAGTACTAGTAGTAACAATACTAGTATTAGTACTAGTAGTACTAGTAGTATTACCAGTCGTAGTAATACTAGTAGTAGTAGTAGTAGTATTAGTACTGGTAGTACTAGTCGCAGTGGTAATAGTAGTAGTAGTACTAGTTGTATTAGTAGTACTAGTAGCACTAGTAGTAGTAGTAGCAGTACTAGTAGTAGTAGAATAAGTACTAGTAGTAGTAGTAGTACTAGTAGTATTAGTATTATTAGTAATACTAGTAGTAGTAGTACTAGTAGTAGTAGTAGCACTAGTAGTATTAGTACCAGAAGTAGTGGTAGTAGTACTAGTAGTAGTAGTAGTACTAGTAGAAGTATTAGTAGTAGTACTAGTAGTATATTAGTAGTAGTAGTAGTAGTACTAGTAGTAGTAGTACAAGTACTAGTAGTAGTAGTATTAGTACTAGTAACACTAGTAGTAGTGGTAGTAGTAGTAGTACTAGTAGTAGTAGTAGTACTACTGGAATTATTAGTACTATTATTAGTATTATTACTAGTAGTAGTAGTACTAGAAGTAGTAGTAGTACTAGTAGTATTATTTGTAGTAATATTACTAGTAGTATTAGTACTAGAAGTAGTACAAGTAGTAGTAGTACTTGCAATAGTAGTAGTACTAGTAGTATTAGTAATAGTAGTAGTAGTAGTATTACTATTAGTAGTAGTAGCACTAGTAATAGTAGTACTAAAAGAAGTAGTAGTAGTACTAGTAGTAGTACTCGTGGTAGTAGTAGTACTAGTAGTAGTAGTAGTAGTATTACTAGTAGTAGTGGTAGTAGCACAAGTAGTAGTAGTACTAAAAGTAGTAGTAGTACTAGTAGTAGTAGTAGTACTAGTAGTAGTAGTACTAGTAGTATAATTAATACAAGTAGTAGTAGTAGTACTAGTAGTAGTAGTAGTAGTACTAGAAATATTATTAGTAGTATTAGTACTAGTAGTAGTAGTACAAGTACTAGTAGTAGTAGTACTAGTAGTAGTAGTAGTATTACTAGAAGTAGTAGTAGCATTAGTACTAGTAGTAGTAGTAGTAGTACAAAGAGTAGTATTAGTACTAGTAGTAGTAGTAGTACTACGAGTAGTGTTAATAGTAGTAGTACTAGTAGTAGTAGTATTTGCAATAGTAGTAGTACTAGTAGTATTAGTAGTAGTTGTAGTACTAGTAGTAGTATTATTACTAGAAGTAGTAGTACTAGTATTATTAGTAATACTAGTAGTACTACTAGTAGTAGTAGTAGTGGTAGTAGTAGTATTAGTATTAGTAGTAGTAGTAGTACTAGTAGAACTAGTAGTAATAATAGTAGTAACAGTACAGTAGTAGTACTACTAGTAGTATTAGTCGGAGTACTAGTAGTAGTAGTAGTAGTAGTAGTATTAATAGTAGTAGTAGTACTAGTATTAAAAAAAAAAAAAAAAAAAAAAAAAAAAAAAAAAAAAAAAAAAAAAAAAAAAAAAAAAAAAAAAAAAAAAAAAAAAAAAAAAAAAAAAAAAAAAAAAAAAAAAAAAAAAAAAAAAAAAAAAAAAAAAAAAAAAAAAAAAAAAAAAAAAAAAAAAAAAAAAAAAAAAAAAAAAAAAAAAAAAAAAAAAAAAAAAAAAAAAAAAAAAAAAAAAAAAAAAAAAAAAAAAAAAAAAAAAAAAAAAAAAAAAAAAAAAAAAAAAAAAAAAAAAAAAAAAAAAAAAAAAAAAAAAAAAAAAAAAAAAAAAAAAAAAAAAAAAAAAAAAAAAAAAAAAAAAAAAAAAAAAAAAAAAAAAAAAAAAAAAAAAAAAAAAAAAAAAAAAAAAAAAAAAAAAAAAAAAAAAAAAAAAAAAAAAAAAAAAAAAAAAAAAAAAAAAAAAAAAAAAAAAAAAAAAAAAAAAAAAAAAAAAAAAAAAAAAAAAAAAAAAAAAAAAA